AAGAACAAGGCAAAGTTTGTACTCAACCGTAGTGGCCCATTTAGCCGGGGCTTGTCCCGGTTTTCTCAGCATGAGGTTTCTTGCAGTATTACTACTCTCCCCTGCATGAGATGCCAAACTAGGGACTTTAAGCAGTCAGGACGGCAACGCCACAGAAGACGTCGATTAAAAAATGGGTTTCTACTTTTAGTTAGAATTTCCAAAATGGCTGCATGTGTTTTACCGTCTCATAGGGCGCCCTGATCTCAAACTCAACATAACGCATAAAAGTAGCGTTGAGTTCCAAATGTAAATTAAAATAATTTGCCGCCGCGGTTTCGCTTCGCAGACGACGAAATTTTGGTGATTTCACGTTGTTGTTTTGCAAAGGACGGCTAAGAAACGTACAAAGTTTTAAAACGCACGTGCTGGGCTATTGTTCTGCCAATTAGATCTATTGTTTTTCCACGTTCTCGTTGCCGTCGCCGTCGTGGTTTGCTTAAAGTCCCTCGTATCGCAAGGTCAACCCCCCTACTCCCACATTTCACCAGGCTTTCCTGACAGTTAGCCGTTTCACATTTAAACCCCAAGGTGAAGAGAGACGCTGTGAGAGTAAAGTCTCTTGCCCAGGGTCACAAAGCAATAACCCGGAAAGGTCTCGAACCCAGTCCTCTCAACCCGCAGTCCACTTCACGCACCACTAGGCTACTGCGTCTCGCCAGCCCAAGGAAAAGACTTCCCTAAAATATTTTATTCCTCACACATCCCCTTCCAGAGTCTGCACAGGCGTTCGGTGATTCAAGAGAGGTACAATGGTAACGCCGTACACAGAAGCCTGTTCAATGTTTCAAGTTAGGGAATGAGGCGTTTTGATGTTGCGAAGTTAAATAATAACAATTAAAAAAAACGAGGGGTCTTGGACGGTAGCGCTCGTCCGAACCGTTCGTCGTTCTGCGCTACTCTCCTGCCCTCATTACTATACTTATTTAATGCTTAAAACTGGCTACCCGTCCCTGACCGACATCACTGTTTCGCTCTGCACTACACTCCCTCCCCGAACGCCCCCAAAAGGTTACAGAAGGGAAAAGAGGTGTGAAAATGAACGTAAACAATAGCTGTTATTAGCATACCAGAATCTGGTTTCAAAAGTTACTAACCCTGATTATCTCCCAAACTTAATTCAGACGAAAATGTACCTTTTCACAATCGAAGCATCGAGCCAAGCATCGAGATGAGGGTCTTCCACCTCCCCAAGACTGACCTGTTGTTCGATTGCCGGCAAATTTCCTGAGCGGAAAAACAAAGAACACAATTAAAATTTGCTTGATTTCTTCCATTGTAACCCGCTTAGTGGAAGCACCCGATCGCTCTAAGGGTAGAAATTCCACACTTGAGAATTTTATTGTTGCTAGTCTCTTGTTATCTTATTTACAGGAATTTACATGATAAGCTTTCTGAGGTCATCTGCAATCTGTTACCGAACAGAAGCAAGGCAGAATGGAATCTATTGTTACATAATACGTTGAAGAAGAACCTCCACAGCTGTGCTAGCAGTGGTAACTACTAGAGGGCACGGGTTTGCGTACTATCTAAGATTGAATTTTCTCCCTTCTGTAATATTTTTAATTGCAGTGAACCTTCAATTGCAGTGAACCTTCAAAGATCAATTTGACACTAAGGTACAAGGTAAAGTGAGACATTAACGGGAGCGCGGAGGACTTTGATATCACAGTTACCAAAGACGCTAGAGGTAAATTTTGTATTCGAGTAAAATACCCGATTATGATCCAGTCCGAGCTTATTGAGGCCAGGTCTCGAAGCCAGGCCTTTCGACCAGGGGTCCAGCTCACTAACGCTAACAAAGTCAGGTTTACTGTAGCTGCCTTTCGTTAGTTGTACTCACTTGCGAAGTGTTCCGGCCTTAAGAAAAGTGGAACTGAAAGAATAAATAAATAGATAAATAAATTAATTAATTTTATTACACAAGACAGTTTCAAATGAACAGGAAAGCTGAGTCTGATGGCTGAGATCATGATGTTCCGTTATTGTCTCGACTACTGCTTCCTTTTTGAGCAATTCTCAGTGGAGTGTCAAAAGTAATTCGGGATAGTATTGTTTTTACTTTACTTCGCTCTGTGATTGGTCCAGAATACTTGCACTTCTCTATCTCTCTCTTAACCAATCAGATGCAAAACTTAAAACAAATCACAGTTTGGTCGGCCGCGTTTTCCCGCGCTTAAGGAGTTTTGTTGTATTCTGCCAATTAGATCTCTTGTTTTTCCACGTCCTCGTTACCGTCGCCGTCGTGGTTGCTTAAGGTCCCTTTTGTCCTGGCTTTAGTCTTATGATAATCAATTGTCAACTTGCATCATACTTACATCGTTTGCGCCTTGAGAATCTCACTTTCGTGGGCTCTGAGCTTATTAAATTCCAGAATCTCGCTGTTTAAGAACCTGTTTTGAAGTACGTAAGCTTGGCACGTTTCCTACAAGGAGAAAAGTACCACATCGCAACTTAACTGAAGAAGAAATTGCTTAGTATGCTAATTTTGAATAAAACAGCCAATTATTGCAGTAACAAACACTGCCCCGTGTTTTTTTGAATGAACCCGAACAGCCAAATTCGGAAAAAAGAAAAACGGTCGGGGCACCAAGAAGAAGGAGGAGGAGGAGAAGGAGAAATGATATTTTATACCACGTACATGACAACTGCTGACTAATGATGTCAGCGGTATTTCTTTGAAAATGGAACAAGATAGTGCTCGAAGGTTTGAAAAGGTCTTTAAGACCCTAAAACTACTAAAGCAATATTCGAAAATGCACAAGGATAGAAAAAAAAAAAAAAAAAAAAAAACAGGACGTGGAAATGATATTAGAAGATTTTGTGACTTTTTCATTGGCTAGTTCGGAATGAGAACAGATACTATCGCGCAAACTCCAAAAGTGAGGGCAAGCTAAAAATTTAAAAAGATGGAGCTGCACACTTATTACGAAAAAAGTTAGTCCTCGTCAGTTCGCAGAGCCGCCTTCTAAACAACGGGGACCTTGAGGAGTCAGGACGGTAACGCCAAGGAAGACATCGATTAAAAAAATGAAAGCCTACTTTTGATTAGAATTTCGAAAATGGCTGCATGTGTTTACCGTCTCATACGGCGCCACACCTCAACTTTAGCACAACGTCTAGAAGTAACGTTGAGTTCCAAATGGAAATTAATATAATTTGCCGTCGCGGTTTCCGTCCGCAGACGACGCAAATTTTGGCGATTTCACATTGTTGTTTTGCAAAGGACGGCTAAGAAATGAACAAAGCTTTAAAACGCACGTGCTGGGCTATTGTTCTGCCAATTGGATCTTTTGTTTTTCCACGTCTTCGTTGTCGTTGTCGTCGTGGTTTGCTTAAGGTCCTTTTCTTAAACTCCCGAACGCCAAGCTGATAGATTTCAAAGACAACTTTCGTGTTGCACGTAACCATTACTAAAGGTACGGAGCAGGAAAAAGGATTGCTGATTACTATGTTCTCTCCTACCTTAAGTTTCTCTATCCCTTGGATATCATCGATTCTGTTCTCTGCAGATTTGGTATCACTGCTCTTACAAGACGTCGAACTACAAAAGGGAGAGACAAAATCATCGCGAAGATAGTACACAAATAAAAAAATAAAAAAAAACGCAGCTCCGTCTACCGCTTCGATAAAAGGAAACGCAAATGCCTGGTGCAAAAGCTTTGCGACAAAAGAAGGACTGCATGGAAAAACAATACTAACATTTTACGAGGACAAAAAACTTTTAGTACATACCTTTCAAATTCTTCGTTGTTTTCTTCGTCAAATTCTAGAACTTCTTCACCTTCTACAGTGGATTTCTCTAATGCATATAACTAATGAGAAAAAGAAAGAAAGTATGTAAGTCAGAGTGATAACCGGTAATCATTTCTGTTGCTGCCTGTCTTTATAATTTTAACGCTCCCAGTAATCCCTGCGAACTGTGGTAAGCAACTTGACTTGAATCGCAAACCTTTGCGATCCTTTCTAGAGCCTGCAATGTTGGCACATTCCTAGCGAAACGGAACGCGTTAACCATTTTTTTTTTACAGCGAATCACGCCGCTCTCTAAGATAAGTATACGAAAGAGTAGGTCCTATGGACATGTCGAACACAAAAGAAATCTGAGCAGCTGAACTTCTGCAAAGAACTTTAATAAAATATAGTTGTACACAGTTGAATTTTGCGTCATTGGACGCAGATGATAACCAAGACATGATCCAGATTGTAGCCACTTAACCTTTTGCACCCTAACATGAGTTTACATATTCTCCATACTGTTCTCTTAACTTTGCCTAAGGTGCTGACAAAGAGAATTCTCTTAACAAACAAGAGCTTCTTCAGTTTGTGATCATTTCCTTTATTCTCGTGACCTTAACGTGTGATTCAGGGGTGATATTGTAAGGAGAAATTAGATGCTAGTCAGGTTCAGCACACTGATGACCGTTGCCACGACAATTTCATTTACCTGGTCAGTGAGCGAGACAACGACTTGGTCCTTAACTTCTGTCATCTCCTTGTACATCTGGATTTGGTCCTTACACTCTCGAAGCTCTTTATTCAAAGCCCTGAAAGAAAGGCGGAAAATTGTCGGTCTGGGTCGAGATCTCGACTATGTGATAAAAATGGTACTTGAGAGAGATTCCTTTCAAATGACAGAAAAAACAGGCTAAATATTCTATATATCGACTCGTGCGCCGCCATAGGATATGGTTTTGACCTCTTTGTGGTCTGAACCTGAGTATGCATTTAGGTGGAGCGTTTTACAGAGGAAAGAACGTCATGAATTTGTATTTATTTTAGTGAACTGTTCATGCATCCTTACTTGGTTGCAACGTCAGCCTTTTTCAGCTCCGCAGTCTGCTCCTTTAGCTTTTCTTCCAACTGCCCAGTCAGGAAAAGAAACATAACAAAGATATTGTTCAGTAGTGAAAATTTATCGTTCTCACATTTTCGGACAAAAAATAGAGAGGGGTCAAGCGTAGTTTCAAGTGTAGAACAAAAAAACACGATAAAATAAAACAAATAGTAACAAAAACGGAAAAAAGCGAAGCAAAGCACACACACGCACACGCACACAAAACATGCACGTACGCACGCACGCGCACACACGCACACAAAACATGCACGTACGCACGCACGCGCACACGCACACTCCTTTTGATAATCTTATTCAGATCATTGCAACGTACCAAAAGTTTTGCGTTAAAGTTGCAAAGTCATCTTTTGCATTCGGTTTTGCTACATATCACTTTCTCCATCCCAGATTTTCGACCGACAGTGATCATACACTGACTTTTGTATGTCACGAAGATATCCCAAAGCTACTTTAGCTAACAATGAATTAAGGTTTTGCTACATATCAGCTTCTTCATCACAATATTTCGACCAACAGCGACCATACACTGACTTTCGTAGGTCACGAAGATGCCCGAAAGTTACTCTAGCTAACAATAAACTAAGGTTCAAGGCTATAAGAAAAAATCCCATAATCTCGGGCTGACGAGATTTCGAGATTGGATAAAAATTTTGTGAGATCCACGATTTTTCAAGGTATCATTTGTCATCCCTTCGTAATAAAAGCCCCCCTAGTAAGTAAAGATCACATTAAACTAACTTGTGCAATGTATATGAGTTTGTCCTTCATTTCTTCTGATAACGATCTCTGTTCTTCATCTTGATCTTGTGTCCTAGGAAAGCAAGTGTTAGAGAAGGATTTAATCAAATACCACTAGTTTTCCCGCCCTTTTGTGGTTTTGCCGCTGAGGACCGTGGGTTTCAGTACTCTTTTTTTCTAAAGCGGCCACCTTTGTTTTGTAATGATTTGAGCTCGAAATAAATTATTTTAGTATATACTAAAACAGTGGATAGCGTTGAAGGCGCGCTCTGATTGGCTAGTCGAACTCCGAATATCCTTTACTATTTACCTCCGAGCAACTCGGGAAAAAATGGCGTCCCGGTTTGCATCCGTGACAAGTGAAGAAATCACTCAAATCAATTTTTGGTGGTGTATATTATCTTACTGTTTTAGTATATACTAAAACAACTATTCACCTCAGTGTCGGTGGTTAGCGGTAGATATTTACCTCGCCGCTTCGCGGCTTGGCAAATATCCACCACTAACCACCTCCACTTCGGTGAATAGTTGTTAATTATTTGACGATTTCTTTCTGCTTATTCAACTGTTCTGGTATCGAGAACAA